GTACAGTGTTTTTAGTTGTTTTGAAAAAATGTCGTTTATCATCTCATGTGTTTTTTAAAAAATGTTCATTCTGACAACAGAAACTTAATGGTGATGAAACGCGCTCACTATATGGAAACCTCGTGTCTTCTGCAGTATACCTTCTCGGAAAGAGTAATTTTTTGTCATCGAAAAGTAAACACGTCCAAAGCAACTAAATCTGATAGTTCAACGCGTAATCGGGTTTGAATGCATCAATAATTAAAAGGAATTTGAACTCATTCGATACTCACATTGGTTCAAACCCATTAAAAGTAACTTATTCGTATTAAACTCATGTATACGCATCGATAAGATCTTAACGCATTAGAACCCGTTATACTTAAACGCGTGAAAATCCGTTTTATCCTTCACAATCATATTTAACGAGTTCGCATCCATCGCCACTCGGAAGAAGTGTCAGCTGGCGTGATTTCTGAAAATTAAACCCGTTTAAATGTAATTTTTCTGAAAAAGACATTTTTAACGCGTGCTAACCTGCGTTAGGGTATCAAAATTATTTCATGGGATATGTACATCCATTATGAGAGAGGTTGAAAAATCGAGTACAAAGTTGCTTTTCAATTTATTTATGCACAATAAACTGAAATTAGTCAAAAGAAAATTTCGGCGACTCCCTGATCGGATCTCTGATATGAATCATGGAACGTTTCTTACCCAATCGTGTTGAAATTTTCTTTTGACTCATTTCAGTTTATTGTGCATAAGTAAATTGAAAAGCAACTTTGTATCCAAACATTGAATTCAATATGTCTCCTGTTTCAACATTGAATGGTTTATCAAATGAACTAATTATTTGTATTTTTGGTTATTTGAAGGCAGAAGAAAATTTTCAATCATTTTTTGATTACAATGATCGCTTCCGAAAATTGGTAAAATGTTACGTGATGCACAGTCGTCGTACACTTGACGAAGATATTGAAAGGTTCTCAACGTTACATAGCTGGTACAAACACTTACATTTTGTTGATGGTGGCGTAACATTCTATATGGTACCATTGAAAGGTGAACAAGAACGCTACAATTTCAGTCCTTGCGTTTCCGATAGGATTGGTATTCATTGGCATTTTTGGCGACAGAAACAAATGCCGCTCGTTGATAAAAGAATAGAACAAATTAGTCAAAAGTATCCGATTAAACTCAATCCGCTCTTCGCTAGTCACGGATCAAGTAACGGAATATTTATGGATGATGGCCGAAATTTTATTCGCCAATATTATCCAGCACAATTTGAAGCCTTGTCAACGACTCTATTTTGCAGATCATACCACCGTATTTTTGATCTTCTTCCATTTTACACAGACGATGCCAAAGCTACGATGCAATTTATCTATGAAAATGAGCCGAAACGTTTAAGAAATATGATACAAGAAGCAGCTCGTTGCATATGGAAAGAAATACAAGCATTGGAAGATGTCAATTTATTAGATATTAAATATACTCAACAGACAGCAGGATTTGTCATGCAAGTGATACTTCACGAATAGTTTACAACACCAACAGAATAGTACTCTTTAGTTTCAAACTTAACATCATTTCCTTAATAATACATAAAATTGCACAGAATTTTCCTAACACTGGAAATTATTTGCATTCAAGATCGACTACACTCAGTTAAAAGTTTCAGTAGTTTCTTAATGTAAGATACGATGTGGAAAGAAAAATCTAATAATTTCTATGAGAAGCCCTATTAGAAAATATTGAACTGTCGATTTCTTATGAAATTTCGATGTAAACATTCAGGAAACCGGTTGAAACATCTTAAAAAAGATGAAATCCGAAGTCTGGACGGTATTTGTGTGAAGTCTCTATTAATCCAAAACACATGTTGCATTTTCACACATTTGTCTCTCTTTAACATAAAAAATGATGAAAACGCGTATAATCATGAAAACGTGTATGATCTCTATCACACAAGCTTTCAACAAATTTTAGTTTTTGTAGAAATCACTTTCTCCTCTTTGGCTCTACTCGTTTCTCTGTTACTTAATAATTGTATTTTTTGTGAATAATCTCTCTGTCTGTTCCTGAGCTTTTTACTTCTTTTATTTCCATTAAATTTACTTAATATGCACTGGTCAACGCCTTGAACGGGCAGAAGCTTTCGAAGAACAATTGCTAACTTTCTATCAAACTACCGTGGCACGAAGAGAAAGCCGGAAAGTCATTGTAGCCGAATAAGGAGAATGAAAAATGATAATATCAAAAGAAAGGAAAATGTAAGCGGTATCTTTGATCTCTATAGTTGAACTATATTTTCTCCTTTTTTAATCCTTATACTGTGTAGAATTGCCATTTAGGGTGATTTCTCTTGTGCAACTAAGCAAGAAAAGAGGACTATACTTATTCAAAGTTCAGTAAGAAAACCAAGCGAAGCCTACGTATATACTCTGAAAAAGCTTTCAATCATCAAGAATCATGCTAGACACTGCCTTCTCTTCGCGAAAAAATTGCCCTCATTCAAAAGCGCTACGTTCAATGAGAATAACCACTACTCACTTAGCGCCAACTATAAAAGTAATTATCTTTGAAACCATTATATGTGTAAAGATGAAACTTTCAGAAAATGTATAAGTAATAGTAACTATTCATTTCCCAAAATTTCAGCTCGATCCGTCTGGCGCAAAACACGTCGATTTTTCAACCTCTGTCATAATGCAATCGTTGTGATTTTTCGAAATCATATTGATTTAAGCCATCTGGTGATTTCTTTAGCCAGAATGAAATCGAGATTATGGTCGTTGTTCGCCACCATGCCATTGTTTTAAAATTGCTTTAAATATTTTTTAAAATATTTAAAAGAAAGTTAATTTTTAAAAAAGTCTGTTTTTTCAACGTATTTGACGTAAACCTCAATCTGTTTTGAAGCGATCATCAGTTTGATAAATGAAGAAAAGTAAAAAGGTAAAAATAAATGGAAAAGGAAGAAAAGTTGTCGGACAAGAAAAAGTTTGATGTTGAACTGAGTAAAAGAAAGTAAAACGAAAAGTCAAGGCGATGGCCTGAATAGGGAGTGAACTTTGGCGGTGGTATAAAAGAAATTTTATAGCTCGCGGAGCGAAATTTTTTTTGAGGGGTGCACGAAAAAGTTTTCATTTCATTTCAGTTCATTCACCACATTTTTCACTGCGCGACCAATAAAACAAAAAAAGTTTGTAGTTCCGCTCGGAGAAAACGAAATGATTTAACGAAAAGGTTTTATTTTCTGGGGTTCTACACACGCACCCCTACTCTCCTAAAAGGCAAGCCTCTGAGTGAAAGCGATAGTAGAATTTCTTTCTAATAGGTACTCTGAGCTTCGACTGTTTTAAAAATACGAGAGATCTGGATATTTTTTTAATAGAAAAGTGTTACAGACCTGGGGCTTTCACCATTCGAGAAGGGTTATATGCACCTTTCTATAAAAATATCAGATGATGCTACCATCTGCTGATGGTACATCTCACCAATACTTATTAGGTATGGTCCACTACACTAAAAAGTGTTATGATCTGCCATTCCTAGCAGCTTATAAGACTATGTTCTCTTCTTCTTTTCCTTTCCTCTCTCTCGGCTAATGCTCTTTATTGGATATTCAAGCGTGCCTTGTAGGATAGCTTTGTCGAAAACCTCAAGACTCACTCTATTAAACTTACGTTAGTTAATTAGGAAGACTTTCTGACGCGCTAACGGCTGGAACTGCACATTTTTTATGAATTTTGAAGCTTCGATAAAATCGTCAACTGAAAAGCATGAGTACTATTTCAAGCTTTTTTTCTTCACGCTTTTATTTTAATTGTTTGTTCTTTGGCAACTGCCAGTTCATGATTTTATTTCTACAGTTTCGAGCTTTACGATATTTGTTCCTGGTTTTAATTTCACAGTTCTCAAAGTAATGGTTTTATTTCAGGGTTTCGCTTCGAAGGATCGAAAGTGGACGATTCTGTTCTTTGGTTTTAACCTTTACGGTTTCACTTCCATAGTTTTTCTTTTATACTTTCGGATTTCACGGTTTTCATGATCTAGTTTTCTATTTCATGGTTCCTCTACACAGTTCTCTTTCGATGCTTATGGATTTCACAGTTTTTCTTACATTTTTTTTCCATCATGTGGCTGTTTTCATGGAAAACTAAAAAGTCCATAACTCAGTTAAGATCGATCCAAACTATGGCAAAAATTTCAATATATACTTTATTTTGTCTGCTGAATCCGGTAGCGCAGTTAAGATTAGGAAAAAAGATTTTCTTTTTTTCCAAAAATATCTAAAAAATCGTCTGAAAAACCAAGTATTTTCTATTGAATCCTAAAACTTACTGAAATCCTCCTTTTATGTAAGCTGTTGATATGATTTCGCTGCATTATTTAACTTAATGATTAACTTAATGATCGTACGATTCAAAAAGTATCGTTAAGTCAAATAATTATTGAACTCTAGAATATAAAACAGACGAAATGAAGTATATGTCGAAATTCTGATGTAGTTCGGATGGATTTTGACTAGGCATGCACCGATATCGGTATACCGAATACCGAAAATAGCGAACTTTGGTATATACCGATACCGAAAATACCAAGTTTTTTCAATTTGGACTTTATGGGATTTTTCTATTCGAAATGAGATAGTTTAGCATTCTGGACACCCAGAAAGAATCAAGGATGCAAAACAAGAGCTTCGTTGGCTTTCTAAGGTCAAAGTTTTCCTTTATTTTCAATCTACACATGTTCAGGATACACTGTTGAATGTTTTGTGTTCTGACCCATGATGCTAAATTACCTCATTTCTGATGGAAAAATCCAAAAAGTCCAAATCGAAAAAATTCGGTATTTCCGGTATGGATACCGATACCGGTGCATACCTAATTTTGACTGGATTATGGATCTTTTCAGAAGCGCTCATGCATATATCACCGTGACAAAAATAAAAATTTTCTACGATGTTTCTGAGGCCCGTAGAAAATTCTTTTCAATTCTGCTCAGTAGATTGAAGAAATGTCTACATACATTTTGTTTTCTCTATAAATAAGTAACTTAAATAACCCGAGGCATATTTTACTTATATTTGCCCTCTCCCCCTCTTTCTGTAAAAGAATTGTTGTTTTCGTTTGTCAACTTTTTTTCTTTAATAGTGTGCTTTTTACATAATAAAAGGTAGATATGTTTTGATACGAAAAGAAGAAAAAAAAATGTGAATTTTTATTTATTGTCGTTTTCTTGTAGAAAACAAAACATGTTTTTTTTTATCAAAGATATGAAAATTTTGAAGAAATAAACGCCATATAAAATACACATTTTCGAGCTTAATTTTTTAGATTGCGAACGAATACGGAAAGTACTAATATGTATGTAAATCTAGACACTGACAGTTGTAACAATTAGATATAATCTACTAATACCGTTCAAACATTGTCTTCGCGTTCTCAAGTTTTAATCGTATTTAACGTGAGAAACGGTGGGCCATTTCATAAATTAGCTGCTACTATTGGATTGTACTTGATTGTTTTTCTTATAGATAGACTAAGACTGTACAATATGTGTTTTTCTCACTATGCGTTTTTTCGATGGTTCCTTCAATTCAGTCACATTATGACCCATCGAAAAACTGGTCCGATCGAGCTCAAATTTGTAACACAGATACTTTAGACCCTATCTCAGGATGTAAATTTTTTTTAAGCGTTTTCAATTTCAACTTTCAGCGTGAGAAAGTTTTTTATACAGAATTTTTAGTATTTTTCGAATATCTCGAGCAGAAAAGCATATTTTTCGAAAGAAAAATGTATATTCTGAGATAAGGATCAAATGTTTCAACAAAACGAGACACAAATCTACAATTTTCGCTAATCAATACAGAAGAATGAGACACATCAAGTCACATCAAAATAAATTTGATAATCCTTTTTCAAAACAGGGGTTCTCAGAGAATCTCTTAAAAATTTGATTTTAAGATTTTGTAAAATAAATGTCAAAATCGGTGCAACAAACAACTAAATTTCAAAGGAATGTGTATATGTAATGTGATTTTCTAGTCATTTTTCTCTAAAACCTCACTTTTAATTTAAAAATTTGTTTTACTTTTGAAAAAATGTGTCTCGTTATTGATTAGTGAAAACTGCACGTACGTATTTCTTTTTTTGTGTTGAAATGTTCATCGAAAACTAACTGAGTGCAATGATCTTTTAATCCAATAACAGACATATTGTTTAAGAAAATCATGGCATACCGTCGTCAAACGTCGAAATTATGTGTTCGTCTAACAACTCAGGAAAGTGACGCTATCAATGAACAATTACGAAACTATCAGCCAGGCGTATCTGATAAATTAAAGCACACCGTTTATATGATGGTATTAGCTCAAAATCAATTTGTTGAAGAATACAAACAAGCAAATAATATCAGAGATTTTGATTATCAAGATCCGAATGTTGAAGTACTATTAGAACTATGCGATTTTGAAATCGAACGTTATGATAGATTTAGACAATTTCGAGATAATAGTATTGTTTATGAAGATAACACAAATGATTTTCTGAGAAATTCATATTCAAAGGACGAATTGTTATATTCAATTCAAAAATATATCGATGGTGGAAGGACAAAGTCACGAACCGATTATAAACTATACCTTAAATCTATTCAAAAAAATCCTGAACGAGTTCAATTTTTTAAAGACAAAGGATTGTCCGATGATGAAGCATTTTGCTGTGCATTAACATTATCATATTATACAGGTTAGCAAGTGATTAAACAATACTCTTTTAAATTAATTGATATTTAGAGTGTGAACTCGACGGAAAACGTGATTCAAACACTTCTTTTGCTATTTTCTTCTCTTTATATCTTTTGAACAAAAGGATGCCCAGCGCTGTTGATTGTCTGTCGTTGCAAGAGAAAAGTATTTTTAACAAATTGAAATATTTTAAACTTCTCTAGGATTCTTAGTTATAGAGATGTGTCAGCAAAACGACATGTTATTGAATATTTTCGCAATATCTCCTTAACGCCCCTCCTTAGAAATTATCTCCGACACCGTACATCCGATCTTGACGAAACTTTCCATAAATGTTAGGCACAATGAGTTACGGGAATGAAAAGATTTTTTTGTCTCCAAGTCTTACGATTTAGGAGTTTTCCAGAGATCAAGGTCCAAAAAGGACCATAAAGTGCGTCCCAAGGTTTTTTAACGTACTTCAAGCTGGAGAGTTCGGGTTTGTTTTATTTTAAACTAGACACCTAACTACATCGACTGACCGGCGCCGATTTTTCAATTAAGCCTTTATTGGTTTTCCAGACAATCAATAATCTCCAAAACCCGAAAAAACCTTCTGGATTTTCTAAAAATCCTCAGCTTGACAAAAAACTAAGACCTAGTTCAAAAATCGACGCCGGTCAGTCGATGTAGCTTCTTTTCCTCTTTTAAACAAAAAAGAATCAACTCTCTACGACAAACCGCTATTAAAAATTTTGGGACGCACTTCAGGTGTAAATCTTATATAGAGAAAACGCTGTACTCCTTTTAGGACTTCTAGGAAAATGCCTGTAACTTTTTGATGCAATGTCATACAGAGTTGTGCGAGATCTTATTTTGATCAGCAACGTCTGCTCTACAAAGCTGTGTGTTCAAAAAAAATTTAATTGCATAAGTATCCAGAAAAAAAACTATTATTTGAAGACCCGGTTTATCGAGGCTCGTAGAAAACTTGCTCAAAATCTCCGAAAAACCAGTTTCATAACCAAAAGCAATACAGATTCTGAAAGGAGACACTTCAGGCTATCTTTCCATGTGCGTATCTCAAAACCGATTTTTTGACCGAAAATCATCATTCTGAGGCTTAACCAAGAATCTCAGAAAGCTCTAGGGACGCTTCATTTTATTCAGTACATTTTTTCTTCATAAAAATTAAGCACTAATGAATCACTAGCGTCCTTTTGCTTCGAAGATATAAAAACAAGAAAATAACGTTTTCGAGGGAGTGACGTGGAATAGTCGAGCTCTGTTTGCCTCAGTATATGTAAGCTATTCCTATATTGGGTGATTTTAAGCGGAGCAATTACAATCTTTACTCTCCCGTTAAATTGGTTTTTTACTTCTTCGACTATTTCATGTACAAACAGAAAGAAAAATATACTCCTATCCAAAATTCCACTCAAGAAAAACTAGTGGCAATGCAGATCGCTACCCAGGCGAAACATAACTGACGTTTAATAAGCCACGTAAAGCGTTTTAAATGTATGTCACAAAAACTGGCTACATCCAAATAACTGTTAAAAAACTACTAAGTAACAGTCAGTTTATTGTCTGTTATGTGATGGTTGATAAAGGCTCGAGAAAAGGCCTTAAATATTGAAAAAAAGGCAAATAAGAGTCACTATTTACTGTAAATTTGGCTGTTATAATGGCAAAAAACAGACATTTAACTGTGCATTCTAAAAAAATGTAAAATAACTGTCACAGTTAAATGGTTATTAACAGGCCATTCTTCAATTGCAAAATATACAGCGAAAAAACTAACATTTAAAATGGCTGTTGTATTCACCCTTTTATTTTGCAATTATGACCAAGTCGACGAAAACTGGCATTTAATTGTCCATTAATAGCCTGTTAACTGTATGTCAAAAAATGGCCCATTAATTGTGTAAAAATCGAATGAAAATTGACATTTAATAGCTAGTTTATGATCACCAAGTCATTCACCGTTTTATTCTGCTATCATGACTAGTATACATGACTCTCTCTCTCTTGATAATTTAGAGTTTTTCTCGTCTTCGATTATACGAGTCATAGAAGCTTGCCTCGCAGAAGTAGTCTGTGGTTCTTGGGTTGGTGCAGGCGGCAGTACCTCAGATTTTAGAAGATATCTTTTTCACATTTTCTAACGGTCTAAAAATTGATATTTAAATGGCAAAAAAATGTGATCAGTAGGGTTACTGACAGCAGTTAAATGCCTCTTATTTGACAGTTTTCTGACATTTAAAAAAATGCGAAATAAATGCATTTAAATGTTCCCAGTTGTAATGGTAAAAAATGGCCTAAAAACTGGGTCAAATGTCATAAAAATTCCGTTTAAATGCTTATTAATAGTGTATTAAATAAATTTCCAAAAGTTCCAATGAGATATGATATATATCACTAAACTTTGGAAGAAATTTGTAAATTTTTCTCTTCCGCGATTCTACGAGTCATTGAAATTTGTCTTGTGGAAGTCACCGCTGGTTCTGTATCTGTTGCTACTGATGATACCATGGATATAAGGAACCAAAAATTTTGAAAATCACTATATTTGGGATACTACTCAAAAAAATTAATCAAAAAAAATGTTCGATAATTGACCATTAACAGCCAGTATTGATGCAAAAACGGCTATTACATGATGCTATTAACTGCCGATTTTCGGACAGTTTTCAGCTTGTTAAAAAATGTCATTTTGAGGCATTAAAATGTTCCCATTTATAGGGTGTAAAAATGACCATTTAATGACTATTTCATTAGCTATTAACTGGTATTTAATAGACAATTAATTACACCATTTTTGACGTCCTGGATACATTAATCGATAGGTAACTAATACACGATGTTGAAATGATTTTAATCATCAAAAGTCTAATGTGTATACAACATAGTATATGTGCGGTCACCTATCTGTTGACATGAAATGTATAACGAAGCTATTGAAATCAAACATCTCATTAAATAGTTGAAGACGTATGAAAACTAATTTACTTATTAATTAATTAACGTGTTCAACGTTTTTTTTCCTTTTTTCTAGGTGGTATTCAATCAGCATCTAGTAGCGGCACTAAAACAAGTGAATCAATTAATCGTGGTACCAGTCTAGTTATTCGTAGTCATAATGACTTAGTGATTGACGGTGAATCTGGTGCAAACGGTGAATTTAATGATTTTTTCCCCATTATGCATTACATGGTTAAGTCTTTGAGTTATATTCCTTATTATTGGGGTACTTGTTTGAGAGCTGTGATACTCGATGAAGAAGAACTAAAATTATATGAAGTAGGTAGTGTTATCACATGGCTACAATTTAGTTCATCGGCTAAAGGTGATGATCCGGTTAATTATTTTCAATCACGTAACACCTATTTTCATATCTATTCACTGACGGGTCGAGCAATATCATTTTTATCTAATTTACCCAAGGAAAATGAAATATTATTTTTACCTTACTCGACGTTTTTAATTCTAAAAAAAGAATATTCTCGATTAGATCAAAAGACACACATTTATATAAGACAAGTAGAATTAGGTATATCAAAAAATTCTCTATTGTGGGTAGATGATATGATTATGAAGGAAGAATGGCAAAATAAGAGAATAATGGAACAGGGTTGCAGTTTAGGTTTATCGAAAAATGTCCATATTATTCCTAAAATCAGTACTCATTTAGCACTATCCTATCTAGACTCTGGTTTTGGACAACAAATATTAAGATCCAATAGAAACTTTCGTATTCTTTCCGACATGACTCGACCAGACGAGGAAAATGGTGGCGAAGCAGGAGCTATTTTAATGAAAGAATTGAAACGACGTGGTTTTGAGCATTCAATGATGTTGTTCGTATTCAATGAAAAAAATGCTAAGAATGCTGTCAAGAAACATTTGGGAGAAAATGTAAAAGGAATTACTATAACGACAGATGAAGATGCAGCAAAAGCATTCATTATAGGAAAAAATTAAAACATTCGATAGAAAACAACAAAATGTCAGAAATTTCACAAAATTATTAACTGTTTTTTTTAAGTCAAGAAATCGTGTACGATACTGTGTCGAACTCCTAATGTATTTTGTTATGTTTTAATAGATTTTAAGTAACAGATAAACAAGATAAAGATTATGACAGAGGTTATGTTAATAATTTTTTCAGGGAAACCGTTGATAAACACGTGTGCGTCTCGAATTTATGCATTTCTTGATGATGGAGCGTTTTTAAAAGATCGGTTTTACTAAAAACATGACCCACAGTGGTGGGCATCCAGAAGGGCATTTGCCAAAAAACCGAGAATACACATTTTCAAAATTTAAATAGTGTCAAAGACACTTCGACAGATAGGCTATCTAATGGCCCAAAAATGTTTGTTTCAAGCGGCGAATTTTTGGAAAAAATGTATACGTAAAATAGACCTAGACAGAAGTGACTTCCATGGGAAAAACATTTTTTTATAACACTAAGCGAATACAGACTTGTAAAACGTATATATTCGGAATCTAGACTCTTTCAAATATCTACCAGTAAAAAAATATCTCAGTTCAGAGCAACTATACCAGAGAAATAAAGTATTTTCCGAACCCAAATGATGTTTCCGGTGGGTGTCTTCAGCATAATTAGATCGCTAAAGTTAGCTAGGATCCAGTTTTACTCAAAATTATACCAAAATGACCGTCCACATGTCATGCATCTATAGTGGATGCGTTTTTCTTCTGGACTTAGATACAGGTTTTCCGAAGAACCGCCGGTTTTTGAGATATTTTCCATTTTTCTCGGTTAAGAAACGTTTTATTAGGGAAATAATATGAAATTCGAAATCAGTGTGAAAAAGTGCATCGAATGATGTATAATTTGTTAGTTTTATAAATAAAACATTCTTTGACGAAAATATATTGCAAGGGCTCCCAAAGGCATTTTTTTTTGAATTCGACTTTTTTGACTTCGATTAATATCTGACGCATAATAAGACTATATTATGCGAAAAGAATCATTTTTTAACTAAAGAAATCAGATGTCCGCCTGTTGTACGGAAAAATGTCCGTGTGACCGGGGTCGAACCAGCTATAGTTAGTTGCAACAAATGGTAAAAAGGAGCGGTATACTGATCAGTTCTTTGGAAAAGTCTCCTTTTAAGTAATAGTAAAAAGAGAGAGAAAAAACATTGAGAGAGATTTGTGTTAGCGAAGAAAAATAACATATTGAATCAAATATATGATTTTCATCTTTCACTTGATAAAATATATTCAATTATATTTTTATATGGGTGAATTGCACTGATAATATATTGTTTGACGTAAAACATCGAAAAAAATAAAAGTGAATATAAAGCAACTTTGAATCGTGCATTCGATAGAGCTCTATTAGTTGTGTATAAATCAGATATTTTCCCAACTGTCAGTGTTTTTGTTTCAAAAGAAACGAGCATCTAAAAAGATGAATGTTTTCCGAGATTTTCTGAAAGAATAAAATTTCTAAAATATATAGTATTTATATATTGTTATCATATATCAATAGGTAGATATATGATAAGTATAAACGTCTCTCAGTCTGAGAGGAGTTGATTAAAGTCAAAGATGAAATCAAATTATATTTTCTCTAAATATGTATCATTCTAATCTGTCAGGACATTCTGATACAAAAAAATCTGTTGGGACATATTTTTGAGTAAAACGCTACTTTCTCGCGAACGGTACTTGCTTAAGAGCTGAAATTTTTATCGTAGATCTACCATATTGTCAGCTAAAAAAGATAAAAATATCGTTGGCTTATCATTTATAGTTACCGAGAAATTAAAGAGACAAAATCAAAAATCTGTCGGAATATTTAGCAGAAAAATAACTACCCTTCCCTCTTATTTTTAGCTTTTTATTCGATTCATAAGGTCCTTAGGAAAAATTTTTTATCAAAAGATTTCTCCCCCTTTAGTCTACCGAACATTAAAAAAAATTCGCGTTTGTTTTTAAATGGGCTTTAGTAGATTGAGTAAAGGTTTCCAGCGAGCGCCTACCGAAGGGAGGCGTGAGCATTGTTTTGAATTCAGAATTATGTTTAGACCTCTAGAGACTCTTGATTTATATATTATAGTTAAATATCAGACTACGAACCTTATACATAAAAAATGAACAAAACTCCAGAAGATGCCTTAGTTAGGCCCCCAGCGAGCGCCGAACGAAGGGAGGCGTGAGCATTGTGTTCGATTTAAAAGTCATCAAAGGACGTTCGCTTGCGCAGATCCAACTTAATAAAGTCAAGGAACCGAGCGAGTGGAGACGAGCGTTACCTTGTATTTATATGGTCAGAAAGAAGCAAGTTTTAGCTACAATAAAGCTGTAAAAAACTATTTTCATCCAATCAAAATTTTGGGCAAGAGAAGTCATTTTTATAAGCAGATGCCGCTAAAAATCCGTAATTTCGAACTTTCTTGTTCAATACTCTGGAGCAACACAAGGACAAAAAGATTTCAGATTTTTACCGTAAGTAGGACAAATACAAAGAAATATGTAGAAAAAAAGTTTGTCCAAACTCATTTAGTACAAACTGAATTATAAATGTTTTTCTCGTCGGAATGCAACCGTACATTATCAGTGCAATTCACCCATATATGAGTGTATATTCTGTTTTCTAGAGAGATTAATCCTTAGCAAAAGTAACTCAAGAATAAAGGATCATGGTGGATTTATGTTCAAATGTTTCTGAGAAAGTCTATTTCAATATGACTGATAAAATACACATTCAAATAGGTAATAATATACAGGTTCAACTGTTCCACACTGGCATAGATCACTACTACTAAGTTTATAAGTCAACATAGAGAGTTGAGAAATTAGACCTCAGATGATAACAATAAACATCAGCTGATCTGTCAATTATACACACGATGATGAAAAGATTTAAAAAAAAGTGTCCTAACATTTCTGCCTGGAATTTGTTTCTCTTCTGGAAACCAAATTCACTAGGAAGTTGTGTACGAAAAAAAAGGATCTATCCGCATGTACTGAATGTAAATGCATTTGTTTAATCCGCGCTACGGCAGCGAAGTGAACATGAAATAGGATGATTTTGTTGAATATAGGATCGAAGATATCAAATAAAATATTTCTAAAACGAAGATATCAAATGTTTTACGTGTAGATCTAACCATCCTGAATGATTCTAACACTTTCTCATTACTAGATAAATGTAGGCATTCAAGATTGGATTACATTTTTCAACTATGTATGAAATATGTTATTTCCATGGCAAAGACAACGAAAAAATAATACCAAGATGTTTGTGCTTTGGAAACAGATCTAAAATATGATTATTTATCATCAATGGTTTTGAAGATGGTGTATTTGAAAACTTCATATAAACATATTTTTTTTTAATGTAATGGGAGAAACCACCTTACAGACCGTCCATAAATAGTAGCTAAATCATCCGATTTACCTTCAATCTCTTGAATGCCGTAAGGCATCTATACATGACATGAAGGAAATTTTATATGTTTCACATGCTTTTTCGTTCTATCGATTTAACGAAAAACAGTGCCAGAGGAATACATGTCATGAAAACAACAGAACGCAAAGAGAGATATTTAATCGTTTTTTACATATGCATGCCTTTGGATGCGAAAGTGGAAAAATAACGGCGTTCAAGAGGTTAAAGGGTCTTCATCGGTATAGTACAGCAGAGTATCGTCAGCAAACATGTGTCTTGCTCTTTAACTTTTAAAAAGCTCTCATGTTATCGAAACCGGATGAAACGACGGTTAATCAGGGTTATTTTAAGAGCCGACGGTTAACCGCGGTTATTTCAGCTGAAATCATAGCAACACAGCAGAAAAACCGACGATTAATCTCATAATTAACCGGAAATTAGCTGCGGTTAACCAACTGTTTTCCGGTTAATTGTGAGATTAACCGTTGATTTTTTTGCTGTGTTGCTATAGTTTCAGCCGAAATAACCGCGATCAACCGTCGGCTCTTAAAATAATCGTCGGTTTTCGTCCGGTTCTGACAACATGGGCTTTTCCTTTAACCTTTTCGGAACAGGACACGCATATATGCGTCACATATTTTTTTCTCTAAATAGGGACACATAATATGCGGCAAAGATTAAAAATGAATGCGTATAGGTCAGAGTATGACTCATTGTAGTGATATGTACGTCTGGGATCACAGTTAGTACATCATACTGCATCTTTCTAATTTATTCTGTCCCACGTTCACTCTGTTTCTCCCCCGCATACACACAAGCACAACTTGTAAGAAATACGTAACAAAAATAGTCGATATCAACAACGATTTAGTGTCACTTATACGAACTTTTTAAAACCGAAAGTGACACGGATTTTGACGATGATTCTGGTGAAGAAGAATCTGAAGATGATGACTGATCACTTAGTCGAACAAGAACTTGGAGAGCTGATAGTTTTATATATTTTTCAAAAAAATTATCCCGTGCTGAAAGGGTTAAGGATACCTGGACACCTTGTTAGCAAATATGAGAACGAAAATCCGCTTAAATTCAAATGTTTACCACAAGTACTTCAACTCTTATCAGATTCTAAATTCTTTTTTCAAAAAATACGCTTGCCATGTCGCGCAATATGAAATATGCTGAAAAGCCTATGTTACAAGTCGGTTTTTGATTTTATAAATAGGGTCTGAAGTATCTGCGGTTGGACTCGATTAGACTATTTTTTCGAGAAACCATAATGTGTCCGGATTAGAACCACCGATGTTATGAACATTACACGGGTCGGTGTTTTTGCAGGACATTTGTAGCGATATGTTCATATTTTCGACAAAAACCATTGGAAAATTATAGAAGTGATCTTATTATCAAGACAACACTTTTCTCTATTAGACAGACTATATAGAAGAAAAAATTTGAAAATGTAGGAAGTGTTGGAATAAAATCCGAAATTAGGACGTTTTTTTAGTAAAAAACTCGGATAATTACGAAGCCTATAGCTCTCATCTTTTTT